TATGCACAATCAGCTTGTAACACTCCAAAGAGAAAGGAAAACTTGAAATCGCATCATATGACCCCTTTAAAAAAATGGACACAATATGGTAGTACGATTGAGTTCCTGTTTACCATATTTGATGTGCTTTATGTGTTTGTGTTTAGGGCTGTCACGATTATGAAATTTGGCTGACGATTAATTGTCTTAAAATAGTCACGGTTATTGCGATTATGCCGAGAGTTCGTGCGATCGTTAAATCAAAACCGATTTAGGCGCACTCGCGCCTTGACGGCAAGCGGGACAGGACCACGGGAAGATGAGTCCCCTGCACAATCTGACTTTGCTGCAGCCTAGAATTAAACTGCTGGTTTCGTTTGGCCAGAGGAGAACGACGCTCATTCAACACACGATTTCCCCGTTTAATACTGTAAAGCTGCTTTGACACAATTTGCATTGTAAAAAGCGGAAGCCTATATAAATAATGGTGACTTGACTTGACGCGCATTCTAAAGCGATTTTAATACAACGCGTTTTGAGAGCGACTCCCTGATGTGTGCAAATTAGTCTACATATTTAGGCTGTTATTAGTATGTAGGCTATAATAGGTTGTGTAGTTGTCTATAGCTTTGTATCATGTTTGAAAAATTTGGTCTCTATTTGCACTTGAAATATTGAGAGTAGCCTACTTTGATTATGGCTGTGCTTATTGTTTGCACTTAATACACTAAGAAAGACCTGTGTTGTTTATTTGTTATTTATACTGTTTTTATTTCTATGTTCAATTTGTGAAAAGGACTTAAGTTAGGAGGTCAAACGTTCTAGAATCTCTTAATTCATACAGTTCTAAGGTCTGAAGAGACTCACATGAAATTATACAGGAGAGAAGCCAGTTAGTTCGTGGCAAAACCTCATACAGTGCTTGAGTGTTGTTGTCGTTTACTGCATATGATAATTCATACTCAGAAAGTAGAACTGAAATGACATTTATTTATTACAAGAAGATTAGTTAAAACAATTCAAAATGCACCTGCAGACTATACAGTCATGTATTTGGTCATTGAGAATTTTTTTTTTAAATGTGTCAAAATCTCGACCTCGTCTTCTCGTGAACCCAATCTCGTGTCTCGTCTCATCTCTTGAGTTAAGTGTCAGCGTTAATGATAATCAAACAAGAAAAGACGAGGAGAAAATCACTCCCTTCTCTTGACCGAATAGTATTTGTAGCTTTTATAAGAATTTATATAGTGACAATTGTGCCCTACCATCACATTCACATCTATGCAACCAATAAATAAATTACTA